TTTCAACAAAACCATTATACCCTGATTTCCCATTTTCAATGGGTTCATGGTATAAAAAAAAAGAAGTTTAATTTCACATATTATTACAAGGTAAATTAAAGTTAAATTCCAAACAGGTATGTACACCATGAATAAAGTTCTTCCTACAGAGTTGTTTGATTTTGTTTTGTGCGGTTTTTCTGTTTTAGTTTCTGTTCAACAGCATTCCGTGCTATTAGTTGGCTTCGAGTGAAATTGTCCCTTTCCCTTTCCCGCTGTTTGACTTTGATTCGTTCATTGGCCCTAGGGCAGCTGGCGGCTAAGACAAAAAGAACAGCGCATAAATTGCATTTCATTAGCTCTGCCGTAACCCGTTTGTGGTGATTCCCTCTCAGCTCTTTCTTTTGCCATTGCTTCTAGTGGCTCGTGAATAGAATCCATTTGTTAATATCTGGAATTTCTGGTATGTGTTTAGCATATCCATTAACATAGACTGACTGACTGGATTGATTAGCTTTAGCTTTCATTCTTTGCTTCCTCTCTGCATTCATCTCTCTCTCTCACTCACTTGTTCGCCCGACTCTATTTGCCTTTTGAGAAATAGCATTCAATATCAAAATATTGTGTTCGCAATCTTATCTATTAGCGCGGCCAATGTATAACCTCCATCTAACGAAACGCCAAACATTTCAATGCCTTGTTCCAATGCAGACACACACACAAATATATGTATATAAATACACAATGACACATGGTAGATGAATGCAGGACTGGCTGACTGACTAAGAGACTAACTGAAAACTTGTGGCTCAATAAGTTTGGTAATAAGTCTGTAGATAATCCATTACTAGCCTTCTCATTCTGCCTTTTTCTCTCTCTTTCTGCCATTATTTGCCAATTGCTTATCACTTGTGTTTACTTTGGTTCTATATCTAAAACAGGCAAACGTTATAACTATGCATAACTGTTTCGTTTAAGCACTCTTAAAACACAAGATGTAATCAGTCAGAAATATGTAAATATGTAAATAAAGGTCTGAAGCAGAGTTTTGCCGTTTCATTACTAGTATTTTATAGAAATTCATTTGTTTTATAATTTATTGCCTGAAACCACTAGCATGGTATGAACTTCTTAAGAATCACCTAATCCAAACAAACTGAACTTAAGTTATTTCACGGGGAAAAATTGCACCGATTATATATATGTATAAATAAAGAAAAAAATAAAAAATAAATACAAGTAACTCTATTCCACTTTATACAGACGTAAGATAATCGAAACGAACTGAATAAATATGAAACACTATACAACAAGATTCAGTAATCAAGTCTACCAGACTTCCCTTTGTTAATATTATTTTCAGATTTCCAAGAGAAAACAAATTGATCCTATATCTAGAATACTTTATCTATATGTTTCTGTATTTAAAGTCTAATATCTGTAGTCTAATATCTGTAGAAAAAGGGTATTTGACTAAAGTCACAGACCAGATTGATGCCTGTCTGCCTCTCTCTCTCACTCGCTCTCTCGCTCTCCTTGTTTGTTTGTCAGTCAAGTGGCGGCTGTCCGCTGTTTGCTGTGGCCTCGATTCGAATGCAGTTTTGACGTATTTGTCGAATCTGTTGAACGGATTTGGTCATTTGATTGCCTAATCCTCCAATTGCGGCACCTTGTTTTGACCACACTTGGGGTTTGATTTGCTGCAACAGTGGCATTTGTAATTTGCGGCAATTGCACAATCGATTTCCAACTTTATCTCAATAGAATTAAGGCCGTTTACGAATTTAAGTATATGGTGTCCTTTATTTGAAATTTGGGATGTGAAAAGTGTGGGAATAGCAGATTATTGGCTCGGAATTGGAAGGGGAATCTCAGATTTTGGGCATTGGGTATCAGTTATCCTTGGCGTCCACAAAGTGATCGTCGTCGGTGTTGTCGTCGGGCAGGTCGAAGTAGAGCTCCTTGTCTTTAAGTTGCAACCGTTGGACCTCCTCCTCGGCAGTCGGCTCCACTGCATCGCTCCAGCTGTCCAACACGAGCTTCTTTCGCGATCTTTTGTTGACATCATTCGTTGAATGCCTGCTGCGGCGCCGCTGCTGCTGTTCATTACGCATCTTTCGGTTGCTCAGATGCCTGAGAATGACGTTCGCTCCGATGAAGATTCCTGCCAGCGCCGCGTATATAACTATGATGGTGCCCACGCCCGAGGACTCCTGCACATCGGTCTCGTCGTCGTCGTGGTAGTCACAGTGGCACTGGTCCTCCTCCTCGGCCAACCACCAGCCCATCATGTTCTTGCTCATCTGCCAAAACTGTGTCATATTACAACGGAAATTTGAGAGCTTGGGATGGCTAACTAAGGGACCTAAGGGTATGCAATGGTAACCTTTGATGGATTTCAACAATTTAGCAATCACCAGGCATTCGCCGATCCAAAAACTCACATGTAATTTTGTATGCTTCCTGTTGCTGGCCAAAGTAGCACAGAGCTCAGGACCCAGCTTTAATGATGCCCTGCTATTTATTCCGAGATGTTTCCCATACAATTTGAGTGACTATTACAAGATGAAACTGACACAATTCTCCTAATCCCCTTTTCCAGCTTGCCTGCTGTGATATGATACTATGACTTGACAAAACAAACAAAACAAAACGTATAATAGAGACGTGAACTTTTTCAAATGTATGTACTCATCTTTATTAATATATATACATATATAATATATAGTCCCTGCTAAATCTTATGCGTACCTACATAGAGCGCAAAATGTGCAGAAAGCGAATTATTGTAATAATAGTGCTCGACTAGGAGATACCCTCTAAGCAGATTTTATAATCATTCATTTTCACTTCTTTTCTGCACACATGCATCAACACACATCAACACGCACGCATAAGCCCGGCCTCTGCTAACTGTGCAGTAAGCAGCGACTGCGCTTGGGCTGCGCTGCAGTGAGGGCAGTATGAGCATTTACTTGGTGAATAACTTCTTTTGTAAACATACAATCTTAATGAAATTTCAGAGCGTAATCATATGGTCAAAATGTGTGTACATTCCAAAGCACTCTAGTACTTGAAACGCGTTTTTTACAAATTGGGGGCGAAGGGGCGTGGTATCCAAAATCTGTTGATTACA